GGGAGTTGGCCCCCTGCCTCACTCTGCCCTCCCGCCCTGGGTCCCCCCCGGGCTGGGGAGGCCCCGGGGAAGGGGGGCGGGGCAGGGAGCCGCATCTGCCCCTTGCCATGGGCTCCACTCCAGCCTTGCTGCCCGTGTGGGAGGGGAGCCACTGCTGGGGGGGGGCAGGGGGCTGCAGACCTGGTCCCATAGCCCTGGCAGCTGAGGCCCCTTCCAGCAGGCCTGGGGGTTTGGGGAGCGAGGGGCACCAGGAGGACCGGAAGGCCGTGGGCGATGAGGGTCACTGGCAGGACTGGGGGACTGTGGGTCGGGAGTGAGGGGCACCAGTAGGGCTTGGGGGGCTGTGGATTGGGAGTGAGGGGCACTGACAGGGGCAGGGCACTGGCCTATCAGGGCTGCTCTGTGCCACAAAGCAGTTGAGCGGCGGGGGGGGGCAGCCACAGCTGGACCTGTGTCCTGGTAAGCCCAGGGGGGCAGGGGGAGCTCTGATTTTCCATGATAAAACCCCCCAAATCAAACACCAAAATGTACAGGTATTTAGAACTGTATTACAGTGATTGAGGCGCTGGTGGTAGGCTTCCAAACTGCTTTAAAATTGTAAATATATCAGTGAAACAGTGTTCACTTGATACCTGATATATATAGTGGCTTGATTTTAATCATGGAAAAACACAGACTTGGGGGTTTTTAATCAGAGAATTTGCAGTTTGTATCAGAGAATGTGTAACTTCTAGACAGAAAACCAGGATCACTCACCCAGCTTGCACCCACTCCACAACAAAAAGCGTGCTAGTCTTAGAACATCATTGCTTCAGCAACTTCCTTTCACCTTCTTGCCTATCACCCTTGATCATAAAACACTTTTTCTAAACCACTTTTTCTCCACTTAAATTCCTTCCAAGGGCCCATCCCTAATGCAATGCAGGCAGCATGGGTATGGGGACATTCGGCATTAGCGCTATGTACAATTGTTGGTTATTGTGTCCTTAAAATTTGATCTTGCCAGGACACAGCTAATCACTAGGGCTGTGCGAAGTTTTGCCAGCAGTTTCATTTCGTTGCTCTCTCTACTTGTTTGGAGTTCGAAACAGCAAAATCGAAATGAAACAGAGAGCTTTAAAACAGCCTTGAAACGAAATGACTGGTCAGTGACTCATCCTTTCCTGAGGTCCCTCCCAAACACCCATGTCATGAGTTTTGCCTGTCAGCAGCTAGGGGTGCAGGACCGCAGAACCCAGAGTCCCCCTGCACGTATCTCCTTGACAGCTGGCAGGCTTTGTGGCTGCAGCAGGGCTTGCAGCTTTCATCCTGCTGTGCCTTAACACATAGTGTCACCCATATCATGAGTTTTGCTTGTTTGCAGCTTGAGGTGCAGTTTCCCCAAAACCCCTTCACCTGTCTCTTTGAAACTTGGCGGGCTCCATGGCCTCAGCAGGGGCTAGCAAGCCTGCAGTTTTGACCCCGCTGTGGCTTAACACATACACCTGACATGAGTTTTGCTTTCAAGACTTTGAGGTGCAGTTTCCCCGAACCTCCTGCACCTATCTCCTTGAAATGTGGCAGGCTTCATGCCCTCAGAAGGGGCTACCATTCCTGCAAGTTTCATCCAAATCGGGCCAAAAATGACAAAGTTTATAAGCTGTTTTGAGCTTCCCCATTATAGCCTATGGGTGAAATGTTGAAATGAAACAGCAAAACAGTTTCGATGAAAGGAAACAGTGGTTTTGAGTCGAAACAAAATTCGAAACGAAATGCAGTTCTGTCGAAATGCAAGTCGAAACGGAACGGTGCTGTTTTGCACAGCCCTAATCACTGCCTTGCTTTACCCACCATCTCTATCTTTAGACCAGTGATTCTCAATCTTTTTTGTACCAGGACCCATTTGTAAATATTGGCCAGTCCCAACCCAGTGCTCCTCATTCCCGACCTGCTGTTCCCTGCACCCAGGTCCTAGCCCCCTGGTGTGTGGGGCAGAAAGTGAGTGTGGGGCAGGGTGGAGTGTGAGTGGGGCATGGGGGCCTCCAAGCATCCCCTTCCAGGCTGGAACTCTGCTAGCCTACAAGGGAAAGCCATCGCTTTTCACATTTTTCTCCTTAAAAGGAGAATCCATTTTTAAAGTTTGTTCACAAATCTTTCATATATTCTTGCGACCCCCAGGTTGAGAAACACTTGTTTTAGAATGCCTGGGGAAGGGCCTCCATCTTTCTTTGCATTCTCCCTATCTAGTGTAGTGTAGGCCTGATCAGGAATAAAAACAAATAGTTATAAATGATCAAAAGAAGAAAAAGTACATTGTCTGAACAATTGCAGGAAACTGGAAAACAAGCTGGGAAAAAGAAATCCTACCGGGGTTCAGTTTTTAAAAGTCATGACATTTCTCTGTCGAAGGCTCGGCTAATGTATTGTCAAACCTTCAGCAGCCTGATTAATGATGATTTGCTCAGGCAGAATCTTTAATCATCAGCATCTTTCCCCTCCCCCTGCCCCAAGCTCCCCAGTTGCATCTGACAACATGTCAGAGCTTGAATAATGGTTTAATTTAGCTTAGGTGAAAGTATCTGAAGTCGTATCTGTAATGAAATATTGGAATGTTAGAACACTTTGGAGTATTAATAGAAAGTAGTACTATGCTAAACAAAGTGATTCTAAATTACAGTTTGCTGGGGGAAAAACAGCAGATGAAGATTAAACGGTAGCAAAGATTAAACACAATTGCTGGTGCCGTACTGCATTATGGGAGTGTATTTATAATGGAGAAGAGAGGTGAATCTAAGGACATAAACGCTCTGCGTCTGCGCTGGACTAGTTAGTTATTACCTGCAATAGACTTTGGAATAGTCTATGCTACAAACTGAAACCAGGATTGTACCAAGGGGAGGGGACAACTGCACAGAGCCAGTCTGCATTAGTAGCATAGGCAGGGCCATAACCTCTGTCCACATTGGGCTGGGAACCAAATTTACTTGCACTTTAAATGTGACTCTATCTAAATTGTTTCTGTCAGCAGTTGTCCAGCTAATCTGGCCAAGGTGGTCAGTAAGCATCATTTGGCATTTTATTCTTCTATGAGAGAATTCTTAAAACAATTCATTATAGGTGTTTTTAAAGTGGGGAAAAAGACCCCATGAGAATAACAGATAGACTCACATTAGTCTAGGGATGTGTTGCTTTCCAGGGACTTCAGTTAATAAATGCATTTCCGTTCAGCCTGAAGTGTCACATCAGCATTTTTGTATGGAGAATTTAACTACCAGCCATATTCAGGAGAAAACTGATTCCACAAAAATGTTTTCAATCTAGTGCCTAGTGAGCTATGTCTCTCTAGCATGTAACTGCTAATCAAGATACACCAAACACAAGAGTCGCAAACTTGCTTTGCATAGCCAGAGGAGTGATGATGCAGGAAATGTGAGCAAATAGAATTTCTGTTCATACCATGGATTTCTACAGAATTTAAGTTTCAACTTAAAAACTTTGTTTGTTCAGTTATGAGTCTACTTGCAGTTTGCAGCAGGAACTGAGGTAGACCTGAGCTATTTGTTTCACTATTGGCTCTGAAACCTACTGATAACGAAGGTATTAACATTCATTTTTATGAAAATGTGCAGTGTGCCCGCCTTTAGAAGGCTTGCACTCGAGCCTTCTTTGCCTGAGCAGCTGACCTTGTTTGCCAGGGAACCTCGCGTAAACCCCAGAGGGTACCTCAATTACCTTCAGGGTGTCCCCCAAACTCGCCTGCCACGACTTTGGATGGTTTTTCAGTGCAGGGGGTCCCCTTTAAGGGTGCCGCCAGAGTGGTCACGCATCCCAGCGGATGTCTCCGGGGCTGCAACCTCCCCTACACCCCGGCCATATGCCAACCTTCTAG